CTATTTGCTTGTGGAAAGGACAAAACTCAGGAGAAGGGGGAATACGTTATGGTTGGAATTCTGTTTTGATCAAATTGTTAACACCTTGCCAAAAAGCTGACCCCTCGCTACTGAACATTAGCTATAAATAAGTAGTTATTACGTTGATAATACATTGATGATATGCTTTTTTAAACAATCTTTATGTGGGTTAAATCATAAAGTTTATAATTTTGGATTTAACACAAAGAATGTTCCTTATTTAAAATAAGCTTAATCAATTATATTTCAATGCTGATTAAAATAAAAAAAAAATAGGGATTCACTGCTTTAGTTACATTTTGTTACAATGGATACAGATGTTTAGCAAATGAATACGTATTAAGGATTATTTCTAGTATTTTAAAGTTAAGTAATAGTAAAAATGAATCCAAATAATACTGAAATTGTAGGATCAAGGTTTTGGTCAGATATTACTACGGTTTCAAATTCTTTTGACTTTTTATATTAGAAATAAAGTAAGAGTGGTTCGCTTTTTAATTAGATCTACTTTGTATTGTAGTATTGTAAAAGTTCGATATTAAATAATATTTATAACTTCGGTTTATTGCGTCGTTATATAAATACTTATTCTGTATTGATTATTTTTTATTATTCTTTTTTGATAAAAATGAAAACTATTCTTTATAAAATTGTATTTTATTCTCTAAATAAATTATCACTAAATTTTGATAATTCAGTATTTATAAGCTAAATTAGCACAAATACCTGTGACTTTAAAGATCTATATATCAAATTTATGGATGCGAAATATTTTCATAAGTTGCAGTATTGAGTTTACTTTAACAAATGGAGTTAACATTAGATGGACACCCAAGTACAACTTTCATTTATATACCACCGCAGATCATACATCCAGCAACAACATCATTCGAGTAGATTCCCAGTTGTATTATACAATAATGTTAACTGCAAGGCCCTTTTAAAATTATTTTTTAATTGTTCTCAAATTAAAACGACACACACTACAACGGTCCTAAGAACGGCCGAGTCTATGGCCCGGAGTTACTCGTTGTAGGCAACCAAGTGCCGTTCAACATCTAACAAAGGGGTCACACAAGCAGATCTGGCAGGCTATAAAAACAACTCTGTTTTCATATGAGTTTTATTGGTAATGTTCAATATCGAAGATATTTTAATATGTTTTATAGATTGTCATATAATGACTTACATTAAAAAAGATATTCATATACCAATATGCAACTTGGTATCAACACTGCAATAAACATTACATATAATTATAATATATATAACAGCCTACAATAAATATTATCCAATTAAGATCATTTCAATAAATACAAAAATTAATAAAATTTTTAAACAAGACTCACCTTTATATCATATTTCTATACTGTAAATTCCATATAAATATGATTTAACATTCCTATGTAATTTAGATAATACAAACTCATTTGATTACCAACAATTCTCTTGTTAATTGTTTTTTCTACATATTTTTATTATATAGTTTGCCTAAATAAATTTACAAGTATTTTGCCATATAGTACTTTATTTAATTAGTTTGCACACAGAATATATCTGTAATTAAATTTTACAAATTCTTTGCGTTAAATTTAATTATCTCGTGATTAGCTACTATTATTTAGTATTTATTCATTTTCAAACGTATAATGCTTTTTACCATCTCCTGGATATTGCTTTGCAGAAACAGGACGAAACATTTTCTTGTCTTCTAACCAATAATATAATACAAAACAGAACGTCATTACACCAAGAAAAGTTCCCCAATAGACCTGGTTACTGTAACGCGGGCGTGCCGCTACTGAATAACGATCCTCGCCATACAAATCAATGTCAGCATGTATCTGCAAAAAAGTAAAAATAGTTTTGAACACAAATTTATAATGGTTTAATAACTAACCGGTTCATTGAAGTTACGTTTATGTTCTGGAAAATCGTATGGATAATATGGATCTCTAGCTTCAACACCTAATCCGATTTCTAGTTTTGGGTAATCACCATAACCCAATCCATCGTCTGGGTAGGGTTTATAATCCTCTGGGGCTATGTTATATTTTCTAGCAGCTTCATCACGTTCTTTTTGTGTGGTTGGATATGGACCAGGTTTAAAATCCTTGTTCCAATGCGCAACTGGAAAATAAAAATAAATAGTTACGTAAACACATATGTGTTGGTGTCACTAAATCTTCAAATACATACGATTTCTTGTCATTTGGTTGAGTAGCAAAGGTGCATTTGCTCCATTTAATTTTTGTACCAAACGCAAACTATTTATTAAAGCCATGACGCAAAATCCTAATGGATTTTATAATTGTAAATTATTGCAAACACTTTTTAGTTCATACCCAAATGCCAAATTTTGACATTTACTACGTATTCCATTTTGACAGTTGTAACGTATGTGAATCCACACAAATGCATACTTTGCTGAAGAAGTTTATTTTAAATTCTATTAAAACTACATGTATAACTTTATAAATAACTTTAAAGTGCATAACTCGAAACTATAAACTAAAGTCTACATTAGTTAAAGTCATAATTATCCAACAAAGCAATTAAAATCAAAGTACTGAATTTGAGACATAAAATCATAAATCATAAAAAACACTGAGAAAGTTGCTATGAAAGGCTTCGTGCCAAAATTAACAAAAAACTGCGATACATTAGGTGCAACGGACGCTACTAAAATGTATTGTCCATCATTATTTTTTCATGTCATATTCATCAGTAAAGAAACGGAGAAAGTTTATTACACACTTAAAGAATTGTATATACACTGTATAGGCACTAAATCAAAGTTCTTTTTGTTATAATTGAACTTTATCAGAAACATCATATATGGAAACTTTAACCAACTACCTTGACTGTCTACAAGGCTCAACAACATTTATATATATGTATTTATATTAATTGACAAAAAACTAATAATACAATGTGTGTTTCCAAGATACTGTCTAATTAATCTAACTAACAATTAACTAATCTCTTATAGTTCTAAATACAAGTTGAAAAGCAAATAAATAAAATTTGCGTTTTTTATAAATATTTACATATATTTTGCAAAAAATAAAAATTGAAATCATTGAAGATTTATTTACTCATTTTAACCTAACGGATATAAGGACAGAATCTTATTTAAGCGGTACTTTCTCATAATGGTAAGTTCTTTCTATTCTTTCGGTGCTGAATTTAAAGCACTGTATATATAGTATATAGCCAATTTATTTGGTAATCAAAATGCTAAAGTGGAACTATGTCTGTTACAATCACTTAAAAATACTAATTATTGTTTGACGATAAATATTTTATGTATTTTTATTAAATTTTATTAAACAGTTCCAAGAATTCACCAAATTTGTTAATTGATAATATATAAATTAATGTAAATAAATATGTATTAAGTAATGTATTATTTTTAATTAATATTTCTTAATTATCACATTTTAATTCAATTTTCCAATGTTGTGAATCAATCAAGTAAGATCTAGCCAAAAGAAATTATAAGTAAAAATGAAATTTAATTAAACTATTTCTTTTCTAATAATAATAGTATTACCGTTTTTGTTGTAAAAGTAACATAGTTTGTGCCTTAAGTTTTTCAAAACTACCACAATCGCCACCATATTCTTCTGGTAACATACTACGCGGTACATGCTCATAGAGCCCATTTATGCCATTTGTGTGAAAGTGTATCTAAAATAACTATAAATATTTATAAAAGTTCTACATTTTGTAGAAATATACGTACCATTTTAAAAACTTCTCGATTTATAAATGGTTTGACAACACTTACAATTTTGTCCAAATATGTTGGACAATTTATTAAATGTACAGCCTTAAGACGTACGGGGAAGGCTTCTTGTAGAAATTTCAAATATATACGCATTGTACCGATGGTCATTCTTGAGAAATGTTTCATGGAAAATCCATTCATGTCAAAAATTTGTACTTCACCTTCGGACAATTGATCAGAATCTGGTAAATCGGGAATACAAAAACGACAATCCGTTACCATAAAGAATGATTTGGTATCTTCTATGTGATTCATCTGTAAATAATTGAAAATTAAACGGAAGTCCATAAGATGTCTAATGAAGTATAATTTCACCTTTTTATGATCAAAATCATGTAAGCGATAACATGATACTTTATAATTTTCCGGTGTTAAACCAGGTAGTGGAATAAGGTCTCTAAATATGGAAAAAGTGTTATGAGATTTATATATAATATGTGTGTAGTTTTCTTTAGTAAACTTACGCATAAGCAAATGTGTTTTGACTTTGTTCACTATTTGGATCCCTATCCAGAAAGATGTGATCATATTTATTACGTAATTTGTAATTAATTCTTATTAATTTTTTCGTGTCTTCAACATTTCTGTACATACACTCATAAAATCTTTTTAACAACAGCCGATCTATAAAAAATATATATATTTCAATTTTTAGTAGCAATGATTTAAAAATAATTTTATTTAAACATAAACTATGTTTTATATTGCAATATCTGTACAACTTTTTTCATCGATAGACTTTAATTACTTGTGGAAAACAATTAATTATATAAGATAAAATATATATACAGTAGGTCTCCGTTAGCGGAAATTTTCAGTCATTTATATTCCGTGGTAGTTCGGTCAAAATTATAATATGCTAAATGTGCATTATGTGTCTTGCACTTCGGATCTACCACTGATTTGCTAATCCAGACATGTTATGAATATATCTGCTCGATAGTCCAGTAAAAAAAACATATGTTTATATATGAGTGATTTGCATACCTACGTATATGTTTCATTCGCCTATATATTTTGTTTGCTATTTGCTAATACACTTTATCGTTTATCATGTTAATGTGTCATTTAGCTTATGGTTTGATATAATAAACAGTAAAATAATGTTCTGTTTCTGTTCGGTTTCTATTGTTAAATAAATATATGAATATATAAGACTTTTACTGTATTTTTTATATGACTGTCGCAATACACATGCCTCATTAATTCACATTTATCCCAATTTTAATGAATGCGGGCTAGCGGAGGATTACTGTATGTATATATGCAATAAAACAATCGATTGGCTGTTTCAAATTGAATACAAATTAAATTAACTTTACTGTTCTATCCAAGACTAGGAAAGATAGGCTATATACTGTCTTTCAATAAAGAAATCGGACTTGGAGAAACACTCTAATTCGACTAAGGGGCACAATAGATCTTTTAGGTCGCAGTGTATGATCCCTTGTTTTTAAAAATAATAATACTGTTCCACTGGCGTAATATCAAAATAATTGAATGATATCAATATAATCGGTATCTCGAGAAGTAAGTTATTATATAGAATAAGCAACTTTATTAAAATCCATTATTAAATTAGGGTGCTTAAGGTATAGCAATCTTGTTAATTTTGTCAATTATTTATGTTCAGTCGTTGCTTCTCAATATATATTATTATATACGGACATCTTCATCATCTTATATGTAAATTAAGTAATAGACTTCATCTATAAAATGTTGGAACCAAAAAGACTTTAATTTTATGATTTGCTGCCTATAGTTTCGTATCAAATATTATTATATAGATTTAATTAGGTAAAAAATAGAACCGTTCTATTTTTAGAAGTTTAAATCAAAATAGTAAACTGTTTTCTATTAGTACGGTTTACTTTTAGTCACAGCATGTTAGTATACTGAGACAAAAAGAGAAAAGTTTGAGTTCTAATATAACAAAGTAAAAAAAAAATATTTTAAAAAATATTTTACAGCATTTAAATTTATTAATTGCATTTTAAAATAGAAAGTAAAATAAACAGTTTTAATTTCCACATTCCAGTTTTAATAAAATTTAAATTATTTTTATTGTGGTCATTTTAGGGTCAGAAATATTATAAGCCTAAAGGGACTTGAATAAAGTATTCTGTTAATGACAATATTTATTTTTATAAAATCCTACACTAAATAGTTGTTCTCCAAATTTGATATATGCAAGTAGGAAGTTACACAGAAATCTTTATTAATTTTTTTAATATTACAACAATTTTTATAATACAAACGTAATTTTTTTTAAAATAATTAAAACTTCCTCTTTACTATTATTTCATAATGTTTTGCATCTAAAACGACAATAATTATTTATTCGGACTTTAATTATGTAATGATCTTATATATGATTTCTTCCATTTAAATTACTTTTAATTATGCAAACTCATTTATAATTAATAAATAATTTTAATTGCGCTTTGAGGCGCACAAGTCTATATTGTTTCCTTCCTTTGTCAATATTTATTATTTAAAGCTGCACGTAATATTTTATTTGGTCAAATAAACAATTTCGGGCTAATGTACTTTGTATACAGATGAGCTAATTAAAATCTGAAAATCTGGAATTTTATAATTTAATATTCTTAACATATTTTTTCATATTTTCATATTTTACATTAATCTCTTAAAAATGCCAAATAGTATATTTACAATATTTTATATGTTTATTTAACCGATTTTGATTCTTGATATATGTGTTGATTCTTACCAATTTCCTTTGGCAGCTTTTCATTTTCCTGAAACCATTGCATTAATTCATCAATTTGAGCTTCATAAGCACGATCACCCATATTATTTTTTACTTTTTATTTTTATTAATTAATTTAAAATTTTTTAATTTAAAACTTGGATTTGCTATTGACTGTAAATTTTATAATTAAAATTCAATATATAATGCTTCACTGACTCTAACAAAATATATTAAAAATTATTTCAAAATCTAATTCGTTGGTTATGAATTTTTATTGTTGTTTGTCTGAGTTCTGAACACAAACTGAAATCAAAATTGCAATTGAAATTAAAAATTGAAAGCGATTTAATATTTTTAAGTTTATTTTTAATGTCTTCTCTTCATTATTATTTAACCGCGAACCAAATTGTTGCTTGACTAAGCAGCCAACAAGTAGGAAACGTTTTCTAATGGTGCTCATTACCAGTAACGTGTGTCAAGCCAAGCGATTCCCAAACTTTTTCACTCAAAGAAAAAGATAAAGATAAAAAGAAAATTTATAGAGACATAAAGAGATTATATATGTTATTTTCAAAATAATTAATTCTTAAGCTAAATTTGGGGAAAAAAAATTTTAAATTGAGCAATTAATTAAATTAAATTAATTAAAAATACTTATATCTTGGAGATATATCAAACACCTTTCTTACTTAATCATTAAGTTCACTTGACATAAAACCAATTTCAATTAATATAACATATGTAGTAAATCAAATATAAGAATATGTGTTTAATATATACAGTCAAACTTCCATAACGATCGACTTATGGAGACTTCGATTTAGAGAATTTTTTTAATTTTTTAAATTTTTAAAAGAAACTAGA